GCCGAAACCTTTTCCAACAAATCACTGATCACCTCACGTCGATCTCCTCTGCAAAACCCGCACGAGATCTCAAATCCGTCAAAGTAAACTGAGTCAATTTTGAGTTCTTTATTATTATCTATCCAATGAATGAAACTGATTCATTAAATTTTTGTAGATAGGCTGCTTTGAAGACAGCTACACTCAAGTTCTCTGGCATCATGGCTCAGATTGAATTTAGTCCTCCCAGTGGTACTGTTCCGACCGATTGGCCTGAACTTGCGATCATAATGTACAACAAAACCAGCACCCGAGGTCAATTCAAGTCTCTCGCAGCGTGGAGGATCCTTTCTGTGGCTCCAAAGTGGACCGTGCAACGTGGTCCACCAGGTCCTCTAGCGATGTCGATTGCCAGTGCTAGCAACCCCCTCAGCGACTCCTCCGGTGCCCCCTCCAGCGACTCATGATGCGTAACGTAGTAAAAGAACAATAAAAGTAGGTGAGGATGGGGGAATCCAAAACGTTTGTGCCAAACTACGGCCCTTTTTATAACTGCCATGACTAAGTTTTTTTTGATTTGATCAGGTAATACACAGCCCATTCCCAATCCGTACTGGTATCCAACATTGTGTGGTGACAGAAAAGTGGTTTGGCGTTGCTCGGCGTAGGTTTGGTAGAATGGCAGATATCAAGATCTCAGTCGAAGTTCAGGAGTATGTAGTGTGGTCTAGTTCAGGCGTGTGACTAAAAAGTGAAGGGAGGATCAGCCAGGCTCAGTCAGGATAGGCCAGATGAACAAATCCTTACGTAAAGGATGAAGCGAGCCCCTGAAGGGTCCAATAGCAATGTAATAGCAAATGATCACAGGGTTCTGGATTTGATTCAGTGGTGCGATTGACCAATGTCGCAAACCCGAAGCCCATGTCGCAGCGCAAAAGCCGGTGTTGCATGCCAAATATACACATGTAACAAACCGGGGTCAATACAGCGACAAACTGTCGCAACCGTGGATGCGACGGGCTTTTGCCCACGGTGTATGTGCTGTTTGACCGTTCAGCAGCAACAAAGAGGCTATACCGGCTGCTGAGCACGCCAAGAATGGTATTCTGTTTGTGTTACAATAGTGCAGGAGGCAATTCAAGACAAAAGTCTGGCCTGTCCCCCCTGGTGCATTGAGGAAAGCCAAATAAGCAATGTTCTCTTTCAAAGCCTCCAGTATCGTATCAATAATTTGTCTCTGCTCCCCAGTCACGACATTCATCATTGCCTTGTGCTTTCGCGCACTTTTGTCCAGATCAACCATGTTGGTACCAACACTTCTTGCATTGTCAGGCAGTCGTAACTCCAATAATGCTCCTCATCTACTTGAGGTAAACCAACAGCTGATAGAGTTTTTTCCATCGTCGCAAGTATATTTTGCATAAGAAATGAAGCATAATTTAAAAACCAGTTCCTCATCAGGGAGTGGGATAAGGGAACCCATTAAATGTGAGAGTTGACCAGATATCCTGAAGGTATAGACGCCGTGTTGCCCAGCCACACTTTTGTCAATTTCTGCTCCAAGAAATGTGAACAACAAAGCTTTGTTGTATTTTTGGATCAGGCTGCAAAAATTTTGAGATTCTATTATATTGAACAATTCAATTTCAGCGGAAGTATTTGACTATATTTGCAGTTGAGGAATGCACCCAATTCTCACCTTCATCTGTTGCAGTCAGAAGTGCTTGATACAATTCAGGCACTTGCTCACCCATGTCCTCCGGAAAATAACGCAACAGTAAATCTACTGCACCCTGCTGGCAACAGTTTGAATAAGTTGCGCTCAAGTGATTTGCATCTTTTAGACAACGCTCAAGTTTCTATCTAAAAGCTCCCCAGCTCGCGCAATGATCGTCTTGTGGCCCTATGTTAGAAGGTATTTTGTTTGGGAAGCGCTGTATCAATGATTCCTCACTTCCATGTGCCTCCAAAGGTATTGCCGCACTTCTCACACATGCTCTTGGAGGTATACTTATTATCTGACCATGTAACATAAGGAAATAAACATTCATCAACATTCCATTAAATCATCATCTATACCATGACTTACGTAAGGGTTTTGAATTTATTTTGTAAACCCCTTGATCTCAGTGTAACCAGTTTTCTTTCTAGCTTTGAGAATGAAACCTTGTTACACTTGGTGCTGGGGCTGCAATTTCGAACCAATCCAGGGAAACAATGTTGGTCAAATTTTCTCAATCACAGAATTCTTCTTTGTGACATTACCCAAAAAATTTACCAAATAACACAAAATGACACTGGCTTGCTGCTTTTACAATAACCTTGTGTCTGAAAATTGCTCAAATCTAAGCAAGGGGAAAAATACTAATTAGCCAAAAAACACACCAATGGTTTGTCCAAATCTGTTCCTTTGCCTCACCTGTAACACACTGTTTGATTCTATGAAGGGCTTCCCTGGTCATATTTGTCTACTTCCACATTAAAACCCAGTTATTTAAATCAACATTAAAGCTAAACATGTCCGTGCCACTGAGTTAGATAATGATAATCAATGACAAAAGTCAGATCTGATTGACCCACAAACAAAATGTAAG